GGACCACAAGAGCGGCAAAGCTCTCCCTCAAGAGTTTTAACACTGCTGCATTCCCAGGGCTCGAACACGAGACCACTGGTTAAGCTGGAAGAGACCCAAACATATCAGTAGAAAAAAATAAGTGGAGGCAAATTGCAATAAAAAATAAAAATTGAGCCTTTTTTTTATGTATATATGTATAAATTTATAAGAAGTCAGCGTTAGTAGATACGAGATACCAATTAGCTCAAACGTGAACAATTTAATAACACATCAACATCTTTAATACTTCAGTCTCCAAAGTAATCCAAAAAAAATTGATAGATGCTGCCTTAACGGAAGTCACGTAAGTCAATATGCTCTCTCGAGATTTGGCCTAATTTCTGGTTTTATGACACAAGCTAGAAGTTGACCAATAACAACAATTATTATTGTTTGTAATAATAATAATAATAATAATATTATTATATCCATCTTAATAAACACAAGCAGATCGTGCCGGCCGCCAAACCCCACCGGCGCAAAGGAACTCATTAAACACCAATCTTCTTCGCTCTTATTTTCAAAGCAATTCTCCTTAATTAAATATTTATTGGTTTCATCTTTGATCGGAATATCTAATTACTATATTTGGATTGGCCGACAATAATAATGTACCGGACGTCGAGCTCGAGTCGAGTTTTCGACGAGTTGGTGTCGGGCACAGTAAAAACGCCAGACAGTGATTTGGAGCAGCAGCAGCAGCAGCAAAAACAGCAGCTTCCGAGACATGACTCGGAATCTGAGTTGTCCAAAAAGGACAAGAATCGCCTCAGATCTGCCGAGGCCGCCGTGCACTTCATCCCGCTTTTGCTCATCCTCTGTGCCGCCGTCTTGTGGTTTTGCTCTAAACCAGGTGTTTCTTTATTATTAACACTTTTATCCATTACGCTATATTAATATTAATGGTTTTGATTACATCATCAATTTGTCCTCCTGTTTATAGATTGTTATTCGGAGGTTTTGTCAGTTGAAAATATTTCAAAGTGCTCTTCAACCTCTTTACAAAAGCTGTTAGAACCCAAATGTCTATAATCTTCTATTTTCTATTATATTATAGTACATGAAAAATAAGCTCAACTTGTAAGCTTATGGGTTAGTTTTGGAATGGAACATCACTATAGTACATCTGAGCTCGCTCACCTGTATCGGTAATATTGAATTAAATTGATGTGACGCGTAAGGATAATTGATTGTTTTTTATTTAATCATATTGATGTATCCAAGAATGCCCTAATAAACATTTGCGTATTTATTTTGCATATATATGATGATAGTCGAGACGCCATTGCTGCACGAGTGAAGCTTGGTATCCGAACAACAGAGAATTGCTGAAAGCTTTTCATGGGACCAGTCTTTTACCTCAGATCAATTTGATTTTTGCAACAGATTAGATAAATACATATCAGACATACATGATCATTATAATTATTGTGTTCTAACCAGTTTCCTAGTTCAGATATTATGCTTACTGGAATTTGTGTACAGTGTATTTTCTTCTTTGCATAGGCACAAGTTTCTCTTTTAATTAAGGCACACCACAGGATATTGTTAGATAAAGTGATTGGATTTATTGGATAGCATGAAAATTATTGACATTTTGAATTTGTATTTAAATAATATTTAAAATATAATGATTAAAGTTGATTTGATATAAAAAAAAAGTACGAGATAAGTGATTGTAGCTGATGTGGAGGTAAAATTATGTACTGAATACCCAAGAGCGCTTGGATGAGATGGCTTGGGTCTCATTCCAGCTTAACCAGTGGTCTCGTGTTCGAGCCCTGTGAATGCAGCAGTGTTAAAAACTCTTGAGGGAGAGCTTTGTCGCCCTTGTGGTCCTACCCGGCTCGATTAGGGATTAGTCGGTTCTTCTGTGGATCCGGAAACCGGAAGGTCCATGTACCAAAAAAAAATTATGTACTGAATAGTGAATTAAATTGTTTTCATTAAACCATTAAACCATGAATTATGAATGGTTTAATGGCATGCATGAATGATGAATGGTTTACTGGCAAAATCTAGGGGAGGGAGTGCATTTTCTTGAAGTATGGCTGCCTGGCTGGTTATTAAAATTTCAGTTAAGCATTACCAAAATTAATTGAAAAGAAAAGACACAATAGAATTAAATATTTATTTTCAAACGTATATGTAATTTTAGGAAAAGGCTACGGTGCCGTCACGAAATAATTTTTTAGTTATTAGATAAATATGTAATTTCTATGTATTTACAATAACTGTATACCTAATGGCTAAGACCCTTACGGAATCATTCTTTGAAGAGATTGTAGTCTTTTCCGTAATTTTATATCGTGAGAATTTATTTTGTTGGTTAGATTTGAATATCAAAGTATACACTCATTCTTTTTGGATCAAATATAAACATTTTCTTGAAATTTCTAAATAGGGTTAATATTGACAAGAAAAAAAAAATTCTTTATAACCCTTCATTTAATACACAATGTCTCTTCATATCCAATCTCCATTGTTTCTCATAACATCCATTAAATAGGGTTAATATTGACAAGAAAAAAAAAAATCTTAATTAGCGTGTTGTTTCTCAAAACGACAAATAATAAAAATATGAGGGAGTATAACATCTATATCTATATATATAATTGCTAGCTCATCATTAAATAAAACCTCATAAATAAATCTTCGCGCAAGCTTTTTTCTGGCCCCGGACCCAAAAAGGTAGGGGCCAGCAAAAAGCGATCACGAAATTAATTATCTACCTTCAGGTAGATAATTAATTGAGTATATATAAGCCGAGAAATACTACGTATTTCTCTACAATCGCGCGTGTGTGTGCGCATGTGTGCAGGCGCGTGTATTTAGAACACTCGCCTGCGTTTGCCTTTCACATTAATACCCCTATTAAGTGTAATCATGTAAAAAAATTAATAGCATTAACTATTATATAATATAATAGCAAAAAATAGCATTAACTACTATAATAATA